TAAAGTCTGGTAGTTGGGATCGAATGTTGCCACTTTCTTGCCTCCTTCGGCTGGTGGTCTGATGTTCAACCGCCCACCAGCACCTGCACCACCACCAAAAGCGTCACCCCCGCCCTAGAAATGCACATCAACTTCGATTTGAATTTATCTGCTAATTCACAGCTATCTATGGCCGAATGAATACCTTTGGTTTGAAAACGTCCTCGTTATTCAATCCAGCTAGTGTTTGATAATTTGGATCAAATGTTGCCACTTTCCTTCCCCCTTCTGCGGGTGGTCTTATATTCAGTTTGCCACCACCGAAATCTCCTGCGCCACCTCCCTAAAGCGACCGCAGCTCTTTTCTGCTGAATTCAAGCTTTCGTCAGAGTACCGTATCTGTCAAATGAACGAAAAGACACTACAAACGAATAAACCACACCTAGACAGTTACAAATATTAGAATGATTAAAGAATAGAACGAACGGTCAAAAAGAATATGCAAAAAGGGAATAGAAGGAAGATCTTTAACGAAGGGAATTAAGCGCTCCATTATTAACACTACTGATAGAAAAAAGTTTTTGGGCACAGGGTGGTTACTGTATTACAGGTTCACGAGACGTTAAAATCGACTTCTGCAATCCAATGGCACCCATTTGCGTGCTGTGAAGGAAGGACTTGGATTTGCAGTACAAGTTACGGTAATGGCAACGGAGTCATGCCGCTCACCGCGCACGGCAAAGTCGTTTAATAACCCCAGTCCCACAGCTTGTTACTATACAAATGGGGGCATCAATGTGGTAGCGCAAACTGACGAGAAGTTAAAAGATCTAATATACAACGAAATAAGAAAAAGCAATAGGGATTAAAATGAAATTCTTATTTGATCCTTGCTCAATAAACGAGAATTCATGCTGAAATTCAGATTTTCACCTTGTTCTGGTGCATACCCCAAGGTGACGATGGAATGTTTATTGCTTATGCGCTTGAGAGACTGTTTGATTTTTGCTTTATTACTGCTGGAGAGCACTTAATCTCAAGCCGAAGTGCCAGAATATACACCCAAGCTACAGTGGCAGATAAATTTGAGCATGTCAAAGAGCTCTCCCCACATAGCCATTGACCAAAATCTTAATACAAGAGGAGAAGCTGACTATCGACAGCTCGAACTCGATACTTAGGTTCTTCACCAACATCCTTTACCTTCCTACCTTTGGTTGGAAGACTTCGTCATTATTAAGTCCTGCAAGTGTTTGGTAATTCGGATCAAAAGTGGCCTTCATTCCTCCCTCCTTCGGTGCACGAATTTCGGGAGCTGCAGGTACATTTGGGGCTTGATGTGGAGCTACTTCCTGCTTAAAAAAGGTGAAATATCAGTGTTTTTACAAAAACTAATATGGCTCCATAATAAGATAATCTCCTGCTCTCTACACGTACCTGTCTACTTTGCTGTTCTCGCTGTTTCCTTCTGGCCCTGGCTCTTCGCTTTCTTTTACGCTTCTAAAACAATGTTTGCTAGAAATCCTCCGATCTCTTACCATCAAACTCTACTATATACAGCCACTTGTGACTTCAGAACGATATGCCGTGATTGAAGATTGAGGATGCCACAATTCAGAGAACGTCTATTTATATGCAAAGTAACAATTTTGAAGAATTTCGGTAGATAGGTAATGAGGATAACGAAAAAGGCCGCAGAAACTTCAAAAGCCTCGTATGAACTAATTCATTTTTGTGTCTAAACAAAGTACGAAAGAGGGTGTTCAGACGAGATTCCTTCCAGTTGCTGGAGATCAACATGTGTTAGCTCCCAGCAAGTACTAGTTGGCTGCATTTGCAACAAACATGCTCGATTTTGAAAGGTGAGAGAAGTAATGAAGCTTTTGTAAGGCTGTAAACTCGTCCTTTTTTAAGAGAATCGTGTGGCAGAATGTCGGAAGCGGTTTTTAACATTTCTCCTGGCCATATCGAGTTCAAGACCATCGTCATTTTTCTTTTTCATGATTTTTTGCCCTAAACACACCCACTAGGAACCTAGCTGGCGTATTGTTTCCAGCTCCCAGCAGTATTACAAACCAACCGCATTAACGTTAAGAAAAAATGCTCCTCAAATAGAGGGCCTCGTCCTACCTATTCAGATGCATCATTGCTTTTCAGCTTTTAGAGCTTTATGGCAAAGTATAGGGGAAAGAATAAACGAGTCTCAACAAAAGTACCCACTGTGCTATGTTTCGAGCCTGATGAAGCCTGGAATGATCCGTGTTAAGCTCGAATTCTTCATGAAAAGCATGATCCTTCTATGATTCGTCCAAATATTAGAATGAGGAAAAAGTTTTGGATCACAATTTCACATGTGTCGTCGTTTCTTCACAAGAGTCCTCACCACCCTCATTCAGACACCACATTGTAGAACTCTCTCGGAATTATCGCGAGTAATATTCGAATAGGTTGCCGGGCGTTTTTCTTAAAACTGTCGAGACACGCGCGTCTCCATCAGCCACTCACTCCTCCTTACCCCCAATCGGAATGCGTTTCTGCATGAGAAAATTCTCTTATATGTACGAATGTACAGTGCGTCTCCAAATGATACAGCCATCCCTAGTTCCCCCAAAAACACATTGTATATGATGTTCTGAAAAAGTGCCGGAGTAAAAAATGCGTCAAATCCAAATTGCCAGTAGCACGGCATCGCCAAGTCCCAGCTCAAGAACACAAACATTTTTCTTCGTCAATTTTTCGTAGAGTGCTTTTCCAACGTTTCCAAATGATACAGCCACATCATGTCTTCGTGTCGTGTTTTTGTTCAACGCAACGAAATGGCTGCTTTCATAGTCCGCAGGCAGGCGCGCTGGCGCGCGCGCAGGCAGGCGCGCAGGCAGTGCTAGGGGGGAGGAGGGAGGCAGACAGTGTAAGGCAAACATCCACGCCCCTTCGAGGGGTTGAAAACAAACAACCTTCGAAGGGGCGT